TTCGTCCAGCTAATCCTGCGGCTGTTTCTCGGAAAACTGCAAGTTAAGGCTGCACGAGGACGGTATTCGTCATTCCTGCGGCGGTAAATAACAACCGTTCCCGTAAGACGACCGTTGCCTGGCCCCGGTTGTTCACCGAACTGTTCAACAATCGCGCTTGTTAATCCTCCGTGACGTTCCAATTAGCACCCTCGTTAATAATCGTGATTCGCGTTGTCCATTCGTTGCGCCGGTTTGATCGACTACCAAAATTCTACGCGTTTACGATCCTTTCGATCGTTCGTCTATCGCAAAATATTGCACGCGCAACGGGGTAATCTCCGTAGCGAGCACGCTTGAAATGTTTTACGCGTAACCTGTTAATCAGGAATCTCTTACGGGCGTAGGTAACCTGATTTAACTTTATTTCTTGCAGGTATATGGGATCGATTTGATACGTTGCGGTGCCATGCTTTGTGAATGGCACTTGCTGGAAACATTCAAGTCGCCACCGTACAATGGAAACCGCGAGAAGGCGCCCGGTACTAATTAATTAGACGCTGATAGATACGGTAAAATATTTATCCATTAACCCAATCCCATCACGTGTCGTCCTAGCTCGTTACCTCTCGCGGTTTCCATTGAACGAGGGTAAATGAAACGTTTCGAACGGCAAGGCTCGTTGGCAAAGAGGAACAGACGATACCGCGTTATCAAGATCGTCGAAAGGAAATTTTAATTATTGGGAAATGTTATACGAATATTAAACTATTCGAAGAATGCGAGCCACGGTAGCCGCGTGACGGTGGTATGAGCGCGAGCGGCCGATCCTCCGTCGAACGTCGCAAAATTAATCCAGGCCGTTTTCTCCGGTCTCATCCGGCGCGCGTGTCTTTTTCGCGGAACGATCGCGACCGTTAAGTCGGGAGACGGCGAACGTCACGTAGCGCGAACGCACGCACGCACGCAGGCACGCACGCGCACATGCGCGCACGCAGCCAGTCGGCGTGTAAAATCGCGCGCGCGTGTGGCGGCGCGATCGTCGCCGTTCTCTGTCTTACGGCGGTAGGCTGGTCGGTCGGTTTCGCTCGCGCACATCCTTCCGCGAAAGGCCGAGCCGCGAGGGAAGCAGGTGAAAATTAATTGTACGGGTTACCGGCTCGAAGCGACGAAGGAGCACACGGCCTGGCATCGTCTCGTCGGTGCGCGACGCGCAAAGTGCGCCTCGCCGCGTACCGGAGGACGTGTCGATCGATTTTGCCCCCTCCCCCCGTACGCCTCTCCACTCCTCACTCCTTTCTCTTTCGCGCCTTCGTCCTTTCCCCTTTGCGCGACTCTCCGTTCGTTAATCGGCCGCCGTGCGGTCCGACCACGTCTCTCTCCGAGCACCGATATCGAGATCGATAAGGTGTATCCGGTGACGTCCGAGCCCCCCCCCGCGCAGCCCCCCTTCGTCCCTCCTCCACCGACGCCTCACCTGTATCGTCTCGATCTCTCGCGCGCGCGCGCTCGAAATATTTTCGTAACGCCGCTCTTCTCTCGATAACGGGCAACCCGGCGTCTTTCGCATATACCAGCGGATTTATCGATAAACCGTCCGTTATGCGAGCGCGCGCGCGCGCGCTTACGCGTACGTACTACTTTTTCCACAGAGATTCCGATTCTGTTTTCGCCGATGACGGGCAACGACGATGCGCGGCCGCTTTTCTCTTCGCTTTCCCCGCTCGTCATCGACTCGCTCGTCTTCGATCGATTCCTTTCCCAGCGTCACCGTCGACGCCGAATCGATTCTCGCGCTTCACGGTAACGGGCTCGTTACATAAAACGCGAGAACGCCTACTCCCCTCGCGTCGCTTCTCGGCCATCGGCGGACTCCCCCTTTAAACCGTTCGGTTGCAAACCGAGAGCCCGATATATTTCGGGGCACGATTATTTCTGGAACGAGCGAAAAATCCGCAGCATTCGAGGCATTCGTTCGCGTCCCGTGGGCCGCGACGCAGGTAATACAACCGTCGTCGTCGCGGTCCTCGTTGGTCGTTTCCGAGGCAAAGTGGGACTCGGTAGAAGGCCAAAGGCTGCGGCGTTCGTTCGCTCGCTCTCTCGCTCGCGATAATTATCGGATCAGGGTAGGGCGACCCGTTCGTTCGGCCGCGAAAAAGAAATCGACGTAGGTGCCGGTTCGCAATGGTTGTCCGCGCGTATTTACGACGGTAAATACGGCGCTGCCGCCGCCCAGCGGCCTGGTAAATTTATCCGCGAATTACCGCGGTGTTCCTTAGTCCGTAACTCCCGTTCGCCCGCCGTTCGCGTACGGATTTTAGGCCGTGCTCATAAATCCGGCTCTCCCCCTTGGGGCCGCGCGACTGCACGGGGGTAGGAGGGGTCGGATTTAAGGGTTTTGCCGCGGGTTCCGCCGCCCGCCCCCGTCTACCCGCTACCGCCTCTATATATTTCAGAGGAAGAGCGAACAGAGCTTGGAAAAAGCGCCGAGCCCCGGAGAGAGATCCCGGAGTCGCGGGGAAATTAAACGAGCGTGTTCGGTGCGCGCGAAAAAATCGCGTCGCTCGTAAATTTCGACGACGACCGACTCTCCTTCCTGCGCCTGCCCCCTCCGTTTTCTTTCTCTTTTTCTCTGGAACGTCGCCGTCGTACGCGCCGTCGACCGGAAACTCGGACACGGACGCGCCAACTACGAAGCGCGATCGCGAGAAACTTTTCGACGCGTCGCCGGTGGGGGGAAAATATTACTGTATGCCTCGGTGTCACCTTGGTTAAGGACGAAGAACACCGGTAGCATCGGGGGGGTAGACGACGTCGTCGTCGTCGACGGTTAAGAGAGCGGCCGAGAGGGTCGAGGACCGAAGAGGGGTTTTAGTGGATAAGGGCGCGGAGGGGTAAAGAACGAGAGAAACGCGCGCGGTTCGACAGCGCGACGGAAGACTGAGGGACGAAAGGAAGAGGACGAGGGCAGCGGCGGGGAGGGGGGTCAGGAAGGGACGATAGGTAGCGTAGAAGAGCGAGTATAGGCAAGACGAGGCAAAAGCAAGACGCGCAGCGCGGCATGGCAAAGCATGGCATGGCATGGCAAGGCGAGGCGCAAGCTGGGCTTCGACGCGGCGGAAGAGAGAGCCGAATGGCGCGGTGCCGCGCGACGAGGGGAAGATCGGGCGGGGAGGGTCGCGGCGGGGCAGCAAAGTAGGGGGGGGAGGGGCGAGAGAAGACGGCGTCGCGAGTCCGCGGAAAGCCGGCGGCGACCACCGCCGCAGTTGAGCGTCGCGATTCGTCGCGAGAGCATCGTGCGTTGGTAGTTCGCGCCCCGCCGTGTAATACCGTGCACACACAACGGAACAGTTAGCTACGAAGCGTAGAACCGGGCGGGTCAACTGATCGGCGATCAGGTTCGACGGTCGAGAGGGAAGCGAACGACGCGCCCCCGAAAACCAGTAAACGCGAAGCCAGCGACGAACGACGCGCACACACACCGGCGGTTCAGTCGAGGTCGATCCACCGTCAGGTGAGGATCGCCGGTGTCACGGTCCGTCTGGTCTGTCCTCTGTGCTGGGATTAATCGGCGATATCGTTATTTATAGAAACCGCGCGCGCCACTAGTACACGTTTACCATATACACGCTGTACGCGCCCACGGAGACCGGTAGTCGGTTCTCGTTTGTCGTTTGTCGGTTCTTTTTTTTTCTCAGTGAGGAAATCGAAGTGAAGACACGGTGAATAATTGATCAGTGGTGTCCGGTCGTGGTTTCTCTGCATTTTGCGTGTGCCAGCCGAGAAAGCCGCAATTACAACGTATTGGTCGTTGTTCCGGTGAAATGAAACAGGAAACCGAACGATTCGATACTCTGGATTTTTCGTGAATTTGGAGTCGGTGTTTCCGCGGCTGTACAATCTCTTCGCGTGGAAGAGGAAATAGAAGAAAAGAGATATTTCGTCGATCGCTGTAAATTTTGACGGTGTTTTCGCGGAATTGGTGCGCGACGACGGGTGCTCGCGTTTGTCCTTGACGCCCGTCCTTTCGTCGAGCCGTTGTTGCATCGAGACCGTGTGTGCTTTTTTTTTCTTTCGGTCTGGCAGCAGCGTCTCTTTCTCGCACGAACGGTGATAATCTCCGTCGCTGGCTCGAGACCTCCGAACACACGCAGCGAACGAGCAAGAAGAGGACACGCTCGCGTTGCCGCGAGGAAGACGGAGAACGAACGAGCAATCATCGAGAGGGCTCGTGGACAGACCCAGAAGAGCGAAACGCAACGAAACGGCGAACCGCGCGAATAACGCGACGGCGAAAACTGATCTGACTCGGAGCCGGTGCGCGACCTCTCTCCCGAGCGTGTGTGCCTAGCCCCGTCTTTGTTTCTCTCGATTCCATCTTTCTCGCCGTCTCGTTCCTACCCAGTCGCCGCTATTCCTCGTGGTACAGCAATAATATCGTTTCCCGCGCGGACTGCGGATTGGCTGATGTGCCCGCGAACGAAGAGCAGAGCAGCGAAGCAACGTGCCCCGTTTTACTCGCGCTAGCGCCGAGGACGCGTTCAGCGGAGAGGAGCGACAGAGAGGAAGGAGGTTCGACGGTGCGCGTCGACCGGAGAAGCGTGGCGAACAGAGAGAGAAATAGACCCAAGGAGGGGGGAGGACGGCAGACGAGGACGAGGAGGGGAACCGCCCGACCGAGTTGTTTCATTCATAAAAAAGTTCTTTATTACTCTCTGTGAGCGCATGTGCTATTCCACGGAGGAGGACCTCCCCCGACCGGCGTAACCACGTTTACACACGGTATTATTTACTACTGCGCGAGATACGAATCGCTGCCACACGCCGTGGCAACGGTACGGCGTACGGATCTCTGCCGCCTCGTGTTACCGTTGCCATTCGTCGTCGTCGATCGACGCTGTGGCCACCGTTGCTGTTCCAACCGACGCCTAATTGGGACAACCTTCTTATCGACGTTCATCGAATCGGACAACGTTCGCAGAAGGAACGCCGAGCGGCTCGTCGCGCTTCGAGGTTCGACCTCTTTCGTTCCTCTTTCTTTATCGAGCACGTCGTGCGTGCGTTGTCCCCCCGACGTCTCGCGGACGAGCAATTGGAATTCCTCGCGTGTCCACACGCAGGCCCGATATAGTCGGATGGCGCGATCTGGAACGTGAACGTCGATCGATCGCCTTCTCGCGCGCGTCACAAGACCGCTCGAGGCACGGTGACGCTTCGCGACACCGCGACGGTTCGGGAACGAAGAAACGAGAGGAAGATAACCACGAACGAAGACGCGGACGGAAAAAAACCGTTGGGGAAAAAAAAGAATCGATCTCTATCGAGATACGTGTGCGTGTCCGTTAGGGAAAACCCACTACACGTAACACGTTTTAGCAAAAACCGTTCAACCTGGATCTAAGGACGACGAATCTGGACGTTTACGTCGACGACCCTGATCATCATCGGGTGTTGGACGGTCGCGACAAGTCGCGCACCAGGGATCGAAAGATCGTCAAGATAGATCCGAAGGCGATCGACGAAGGCATCGCGACGACGGAGGACGGCGGTTACGAGGATCGTTTGCGGGAAGGCGCTAAAGAGAGTCGTCTCGCCGCGATGAGGGGCGAGTCGGCGCGACCCGGAAAGCGCCCTTTAAGGGCGCTATCCGCATCCGAGAAGATGGACGCGATACAGAGGGTTCACGAGGGCGAGAGCAAGGCGTCGGTGGCCCGCGACATCGGTGTGCCCGAGTCGACGTTACGCGGCTGGTGCAAGTCGGAGCAGAAGATCCGCGGCATGGCGAGGAATTCCTCGACGCCTGACAGCGAGGCACACTCGCCTGCCTCGTCGTCCGGCGCGAACGTCACGGGCGCTGGCAACTTGGCCGGCGGTTCGGCGAATCTCTCCAGCGAGGACGAGGGTCCTTGCGCGAAGAAAGTGAAAATAGATCAGCAGACGTCGGTGACGGGCGCCGGCACGTCGTTCGTCGGTGACATTTGCACGGATTCGGACGGGAAGCAGGACAGCAAGCAACCGAAGATCGATTACGTGGGCTTGATGACCAGCATGGCGGGCATGAGACCCGAGAATAGTTCGCTGCTGCTGCAACAGCTGGGCCTGCTGTCGGGCGCCACCGGTACGTTGGCCAAGAATCTGTTGAGCATGTCGCCGGCGCTGTCGCACGGCAGCGCCGTCGGTCTCGTGGAGAACGGTCTCCAGTACACGAAGAGCAGCACCGGGAACCCGTGTCTCTCGAACGCCGTGAACAGCTTGAACGGGTCCAGCAACAAGAGGCACAGCATCTCCGCGATCGCGCCCGCACAGATGGACTCTGTCGTCGCCAAGTCCTGCACGAGGAAGAATCTACCACCTGCCGCGGAGGCGCCCTCGACGCCGGTGCCGGCGTCGCCGAGGAAGACCAACGAGAACAACAGCATTCAACGGTCGTCGAAACCGAAAAAGGATGGGAACGTGAGCGGCGTCGGCGGGAACAGCAACAAAAAGGTGGACGAGGCGCTGTGGCTGTGGCTGACGCAGCAACAACAGCTGCTCGGGCAGCAGTCGGCGAGCTTCAATCCGAGCATCAATCAGCAAGACGGTTCGTGGTTCTGGAAGTGGTACAAGCAGTGCAGCTTCCCGCTGATAACGCCGACGCCGACGCAGCTTACGCCCAGCCCCGTCGCCAAGAAATCGCCGAGCAAAGCGAGGGCCATGCTCGACAACGTGTTGTGCAACAACAACAACAACGAGAACGTGAAACGCAGCTTGAACATGGAGATGGCGGAGGACGAGGACGTCGAGACGTCGTCCGGTGACGTACCGACCAGCACCGAGGAGGCGATCGAGCACGGCGAGAAGTTCTTCAAGTGGTTGGACAAATGCTCGGACCCGGCGGTCACGAGGCTCCAGATTATACAGTTCAAATACCTATTGGACAATCTGAAAGCGTGTAGAAAGAAGTCGTCGTCTAGCGCGAAACAAAGCAGAAAGTAGGCGAGAGAAGCTCTGTGATGCTAAATATATATCTTAGAAAGAGTGTGGTTAAGCGCGGCAAACGACGAGACAGCAGATTGAAAAAGAATACGGTACAACGCGGGAAAGAGAAGATCGAGCCTATCGTCTTCTTCTTCCCGTAACGACGTGACACACACGGTCGATCTCCTTTCGACGGATTCGTCGTCTACGTAGTCGAAACGATTTCCTTTTCATTTTTCTTTTTGCCTCGTTCTTTTTCGGTTTGTTTCTCGATCCCCCCCCCCCCGAAGGATTCGCACGCCTCGTATTCGTCCGCGCGCGTGCGTGCACGAGTGAGAGATAACGCGAACAGGGAACTGTTGTGCCGTGCCCCCCAACTCCGAGAGAACCCCCCTTCGATTCTTACGTATCGCGATTATAAAAGATCAACGCAACGATCGTTCTACACATATTTCTCTTCCCTCAGTTACCTTAAAGAGTCGGGCCGAATCAAAAATAAAGGATCGTCACGATCTTTTGTTTATCGAAACTTTGTACATAAGAGGATATACCAAATTCGTGAATGGACTGTTGTAATTATGATTAAAAGTTAAGGTGTCCGTAGAAGAGGTATTATTATATCACTTTATCATTCGTTAGTTTTAAGGTGCGCGCGCGAAACTTCCTCGCGACCAATCGAGAATATAAAACGGATATGGATCCATCGACCGGTAAATGAAATGAATAAAAGAAACGTTTTCAGACATTTTTCTCTCTCGAAAACTAATATATACGGTTCGTCGTAACCGACGCGACACCCGGTGCGTATGGATGTCGGTAGTCGAGATCCGCGATACCCACGTTGTTCACGGTCGGGATTCCTTTTGTTTAAAACTATTTAGTTTGCGTGTACGATTTTAATTATCGCGCGAGTATATTTAAAATGGCTTCACGATGTTTATTGTGGACTGGCGCTTTTTCCCAAACAGTTCTACCTCTCGTGTTCTGTTGACGAGTTATTTACGTATGGTAAATAAAGTAAGGTTAAACGAGCGTTTGTGCGTATGTGAGTGTGTGCACGCGACTCGCGCGAAACTAAATGGTCCAAACGAAGAACAAAAAAAAAAAAAAAAATTTGATAACGACGAGGCGCGATGTTTGTTATATCGATGAGAAATTATATATATATATACATATATATATATAATATTATATATATTTAAGGACCTTCGTCGCTTAGCTTTACGAAATAAGACGTTATTCGATGAATGATACGTTCGACTACTTACCATGCTGAGTGCTTTGTCCAGCGGCACGTACTCGATATAGTCGCTGACGAATTTTCCGCACCCCTGCCACGTGTACAGTTCCGGATATGGCAGCGTACTTGGTCTGATAGTCGTAGATACGAATTTCTGCACACAAGAAAACGATTCAACCGTAAAGACACTCTTTCACATCTCGCGATTCGTTTCTCCTCCCTCCCTTATTCTTTAACGGTGCTTTGCTACGGTAAGATTTACCCCCCTCGTGATCACCTCTCTCTCTCTTTTCTCTTGAATATTTATTTATATCTTTTTTTTTTTTACATCTCACGTTGCATCGTCGCGAAACGAGTCCGTTTACCAGTTGAGAATCTAATCGTCGTCCCGTCGCAGATGTTTTCGTACGAAAATCAGAACACTCTTGACCCCTTTATTCATTGTTTTTTTTTTTTTCTTTTTTTTAAACGAAACATTGACTCGTAAAACGGTCGTTCCTATCGTGTTCGAATGTACCTCGACGGGGGTAACTAAATCTTACGGTCGGCGAAGCGGTATTTATAACGAACAAAAACAAAAGAAACACACAACAGGAAACCAAAGTGAAGAAAGTGCTGTCGAGTGTTTGACAGTGCGTGTAAATAAGACTGTGACCGTGCACTTGCACGCGAAGTGCATACCATGTATTGTAGAACGTTTGAAGCATGTACGAATAAATGTATAGCGAAGTTTATTTTTATTATTTAGATCGTAGAAGAGAAGGTTCGAGTGTATTAGAAAGATTCCTATTACGCAGTTATATTTCCATTAGTTAAATTAAATCGAAGAGAAAGAAAGACGAACGACGGAGACAACTTAGAATCTATTAAAGACAACATTCCTCGTTACCTTTTAAAAAAGAATACACACACACACTTTAAAAACGAACGACTCAGAAAAAATTTTTTAATGATAATATCGATATAATTTTATTTATAACACGTTTTAATTTTTATATGGAGATAAATAATATGCCTTTGTACAATCGAGTCGACAAATATTTATCAAGAGAATACACCGAAAAAATAATAAAACATGAATGTATTCGCATATTTTTTAACACTTATCCTTTTACCGAAGATGTGCGATCGAGCATCGGAGGAGTAACGAGAAATGAAACTTTTTTTCGCTAAAATAGAGGGTGTTCGGACAGGCAACCCTGGGAAAAATTTTAATGGGGGATTCTAGAGGCCAAAATAACACGAAAATCAAGAATATCAATTTGTTGATGAAGGCTTCGTTAAAAATTTATTAACGTTCAAAGTTCCGCCGGTACTGAATTTTTTTCTCGAAAATGCGCAGGATTTTGGGGGTATGTCTGTTCACCAAAAATGATTGTAATTAGCCCCTGCAACTAAAAATAATTTTTTTAGAACGATTAGAAATTTTTTAATTTTGTCGAAAATTTTCACAACTTCTCGAATTTTTTTCTCCAAAGTGGGTAGGATTTCGGGGGTATGTCTATTCACCAAAAATGATTGCAATTGACCCCCGCAACCGAATATAATTTTTCCAGTACGATTAGAAATTTTTTAATTTTATCGAAAAATTGCACACCTTCTCGAATTTTTTTCTAGAAAGTGCGTAGGTTTTTCGGGGTATATGTAACGAACAAAAATAATTGTAATTGACCCCCGCAACCGAAAATAATTTTTTTAGAACGATTTGAAATTTTTTTTTTCGTCAAAAAATTTCAGCACCTGCCCGATTTTTTTTCTCGAAACTGGACAGGATTTCGGAGGTATGTGTATTCACCAAAAATGATCGTAATTGACCCCCGCAACCGAAAATAATTTTTCTAGAACGATTTGAAATTTTTGAATTTAATTGTTAATAACTTTTTAACGAAGCCTCCATCAACAAATTGGTATTCTTGATTTTCGACTTATTTTGGCTTCTAGAATCCCCCATTAAAATTGTTCCCATGGGTGGCCGAGCACCCTGTATATACACGATGCAAAGCGATAATTTAGTCACCTTTCGAAATATCTCATTGCGGATAAAATTATTATTCGGATCAATTCTTTTCGCGGTCGATCACGGTTTCGTTTGCGTGAAGGTTACCTCGTCGATTCGATATTTAAAGAAATAAACGGAAACACGTGTTGTAATATGTGCAGAAAAGTGTGTAATTGTAAATATATCCGATGTTACGTACAAAAATTCCGATGTTCTTTTAAACCGATGACAACACTTTAAACGAGTTCAAAGTTCGCGTAGAAGTTTCTTGTACGCCATATCTAGAGCTATTCGAAAAATCAACCGGTCAAGCAAAGATGAGCAACTTCGTACGATACCGCGCGAGAAAAGGCGCCAATGATATATCTTCCCTCCAAAACTTCCCGCCAAAACTTCCGGAATATTCCCTCCAAAATTAAATGTTCGCAAACGTAGAATGAAATGAAAACATATTATTCATACTAACTTGACATTCCGGTAGAAACGCGTGTTCAAAATCGCGATCCAAATTTATTTACGTACTAATAGCATAGCTCGCGTAATGTGTGTCCGATTCGACCATCGATGACACATGAAATATAAGCCGTGTCTTCATTGGCTGAGCAGTCAAGAACGTTCGTTGCCAACGTCACTTGCATCTTACTCGTTCTCACTGTTTCCTATTCACTCTAGCTATATTCACATCGAACATTCGCAACGAATTTTCGCGATGCCTCCGATCACCGAAGACACGACGTGAAAAATAAACTAACCTTTTACACGTTCGCTCGTAATTTTCGATTCACTTACTTGCACGCCGCATTCGTTCTCGCACATCAGCAGAAGCTGCTTCCGTTTCGGGTATTTTACGTGAAATTGTCGTCGAAAGTTTTCGGCGTACCACGCGAGCACCTTCTCTTTACCGTTGACGATACAATAATCACTGGGAAGCGTTTTCAAGTAAAGATCTTTTCTCGGATCAACTTCTGGCCAACACAGTTTGATCAAACCGAGTTCTCGCTGTGTTTCTTGTACGAGTTCTTTCGTAATCCGTTCGAGACTTTTGGTATCGCTGACCGTTAATTCGTCTAACTTGCGATCTTCCTCGGCCTCCGCAAGTGTCGTTACACTTTCGTAACTTTCAAATTCACCTTCTTCGCCGTTCTCGTACATTTTCGATCGAGTACAGTTAGCCGCGAACAAGATTCGAGACCAGAAGCAGAAACTAATTCATCGATAACTTTGTTTCGTTCGGTAAATCGTCAGTATTCGTGTACTTTCATCGGAGAATGGTAAAATTTAAATCGCAAGTTTTTCAATGAACGAGTTGTTTATTGCCATGGCAATTCTGAAACGATGTATTCGTCGTAACGGTTAATAAATATATTGCTCGCAAGGCGGCAGCACGTATCGGGCACGTTCAAACGATAGAATTTGAAATCTTGTGAAGTGTAACGTACCAGGCGTAGGTGTACGATCGCAGTTTGTAACGAATACTATCAGGATAAGATAAGTTCATGAAATTTTAACTAAACGGTGGGTATATACGATTGATCACACGGTTCGCGTAGTTATTTTCAACGGTAAAAGATGGCATACGATTTCCAATAGTTCCTGTTCGCGACACCTAGAAGACAGGGTACGAAATATAGCATATATCCAGTGATACGAATACATGCTTCGTGAGGGTAAATCCACCAAGTCCTGCTACGAATAAGGTAAAGAATAAATTGGATATTTAACGAAAGTTTATTTCAGACTTCATGATAAACCGTTGGTTTTGTATAGAGACTGAATACCGGTATATTTGTATCGTGTATCATATCGCAAAAAAAGCACGATTTTTTTTTCTCGTCATAAACGTAAAAAATAGCTTAGAAGCAATCTCTCAAGGTTCATAGATAAAAGCCAAAGTAAATATATTTGTTTTCCGGAGCAAAAATACAAATTCTAGGTTACAGTTGCATAAATTAGTTCTAGCAATAACCCTGCATACAAGTATATGAATTACCTTAGTTATATTTACTCGTTGGATCAAAATAATTATTTGATTCAATGAACAATCGATGCACCTCGTCTGTAATACGCGATGGTTAGTTTTTCTCTTGCATAAATTCACGTTAGCAAGCGTGCTTTAGTTATCAACGACGGGTAACTTTACGTTTAATCGAGAAGATTTGAACGTTTTCTGATCGAACGACTCGAACGGACGATTCGTCCCTATTTTAGCGCAGAAAGTATCACGTGCGATAAGCATTACGATTTTATTAATAAAAATCTTCAGATACATATCACTGGTATAAAATATACGCATAATTAAAACAAAAATGCATACAAGCTGCGGGAATAACGTTTCACGATAATATATTTTATTTATAAACTATAAATATAACAAATCGGTTTGATCTCTTCATAATATGTTTGTAACAAAAATCCAATGGAACTGAAACATATAATTACACAAATCTGTTGTATCGCACGTTCTTGTAAAGTCTTTTCAATTAATTTACGCAATTAGTTCTAAATTTCCTTGTATTCACGCGTCGTCGAGTCAATTGACTTTTTTTCTCGTACTGTTATGTTTAGCGTCCTGAAAGAAGAAATTCACTTCCCCGTTTTTTTTTTTTTCTCTCCCCTCGTGATTCACGTCATGGATTCAATGTGTCGCACAGAGATCGAGCCTAAATCGACTCACATGTTTTTACTAAAAAGAGAGGGCGGCCTCAATTCTTTTCGTCCGAATCTTGCCGCCATTTTTGAGCTGCTTCTCGTCTCGCGTCGGGCACCAATTGCGATTGCATACCACCTATTACGTTGCTGGTTGCCTCGGTCACCAGAATGATCGGTTTCATAACTGTCGGTGGTATTTGCCGTAACACGCCCCCCACTGCACCAGAGACTCCTTTCTGTTCGTGTTCTTCACTAGCTACGCGCACTAACTGATTCGCAGTCTCACCCAAACCCTGAAAATCCATTCATTGGTTTAGACAAATAGGTTAGGACAAATAGCAATAGGAACAATAGGGAATATTAATATGATTCACCTCTTTTACTAGCAAGTAAGCATTAGTCATTCCTTCGCGAATGTCCAACGGTTGATTGTACCTTTTCCGTCGCCCTTTCTGCCCTCTATTCTTATGCCTGACGCTAGGGCCAGGACTGACCATGTCGTAAGCTGTCTCAGCGGTGCTTTGAATAGCGTATATCAATTTAGAAGTCAATTCTAACGTTGCCATTGCGGTGGAGGTGGTAAAACTGTTCGCGCCTCGTTGCAATCCTCTAATGATCCTACCATCTTTCTGGTACTGTTCTATGGGCATCCAAAATAAGTCTCGTATCCCTTGAACTGTAACAAAAACGTGAATTATTACGTTGGAATGTTTTTTATATCGTTTGTGTATAGAAAATATATCAGAACAGAGATGTCACGCGTTGTACCTTAAACGAAAGAAGTTGGAACATAACGTATACTTACACAATTGTACCAACGAATGCATAGGACCTACACCACCAAGTACACTTGGAAGTTGATTTTTCTTTATGTCTTGTAACCACTCGGAAAGTAAAAACGTTAGAAGCTTATCGATTCCCAGAAGTCCATCTCGATGTGTCAATCTTTTCAGTCTTAATTCGGAACAGTTCAATTGTGCCAGGCCCATTAGAAGGCCCGCTACTGGGCCATGAGTGAGATCTACACGCTTCCCATGATAATCTAATTTAACAAGGACTTCGGGGGAAAATACCACACTCCTGACACGAATTAAACGAAACGAAACGAAACTTTAATATAAAACGTTACACGGGGGAAACTGATACCAATTGCTACCGATATCGTTCAAAACGATCGTACTTTTATATAAATACGTATGCTTACCTAAAATATATCGGTTGACAATCCTCGGTAACCGTCTGCTTCGTTTTCGTGCTCGTTTTACACTCTTTGATCATCAATTCATCCTCGAGAAGTATCAGTAAATTTGGATCTATGCTATCGTTTTGCGACGAATTCGTTGACGATTGAGTATTAGGCGCGGTATCGTTCACGCTCATAACCGGTAAATGATGCGCTGACGTCCCTTGTTTAGACATTGGGGAGGATTGAGAATTACTCGGTGTGTTAGTAGTCTCTAGTATCTGCTTCGAATTATTACTCAGTTCGTTGAAAAACTCTATCAAGAATAATAGGCTGTCCTGGTCTATATTTAGACGCAACGGCAGTAGGCTGAGTTTCAAACAACATTCTTGGCTACTTAGTCGTGGATCCGGTCTGACGTGAACTGCCTTCAAAACAAACATATTCGCGTGAGACTGTCTCGGTTTCGACTCGCTACTGTACTGGTACAAGAATTTATTAATGTGCGAAGATGCCAGCCTGTCTCGAATTTCTATCTCGCTTATCAGCAATATTTGCCTCGCCGCTTTCTCGGTATTCTCCGGATAGATCTCGTGCTGGAAACGCACTTTGTTCAGTTGCAGTTCTATCAGAACGTCGCGTCGACGATTATGGCCACCGTACGCTTTCCATTCGTTCGTGTCTTTAGGTGAACTGAAAGTTCCTTCGAACCACGGCGACCTATCCCTGTAAACATACAAATCACGTGAAACAATGAGACTATATCGTTCGATCAACGTAGAATTTGCATACACACGTTTTCTGATTCGTCGTTTTAGCACGAGTTTTATTATCATTGACAACGACATATTCGTTATTCGTCGAGGACGATTCGAAGTCCCTTCCTCCGTACATGTGCCAAATCAGTGTCATTTCGCACAGGGTGTACCTTGAAACCGGAACAGGGAAATGTCTAGGCGCTTTAAGTAAATCGGTTTTGTTAAGTGGAATCGCAAAATGGTTATCTATTATTCTTAAGGACTCTTGACACAGCCAACGAACTTCCGGTACACCGAGTCTGGGCATAATCCCTGTGCCCGCTTCCTCCCCCAATATACAAAAGTCTTCGTTAGGGTTCTGTACATCGACGTTACATTCCAGCTTGACACGTGGCTCGAAACACATCTCAGGTAATGCATACGAAGAAGGGTGAGACTCATCCGGAAAGAAAAATACTTCCACTCGATTTTCATTTATTAATGCTTTACTGTCCACGCTTGCGTCTGTCCCTTTAACAAAATTATTTGTTACCGGTAACTATTTAATATTCACTTTGGTGTTTAAATTCTATCGGATCGTTTAAATTTACCGTTCACGTTCTCCTTCATCGCCTCTTCCATCAAAGTATTTACACGTTCCATTTGACTTTTGCTCAATGTATTGATACTCTCCTCACCGAGAAGACTCTCTTCGTCCCCCGAACTCGGTGCTATAATACTTTCAATATTTTCTGTGTTTGGTATTAGATCTCCATCGTTCGCGAAATAAGTCAACAGTTGAATAAGAGCACAACCGGAATCCGAACATGTTCGAACATGCAGAACGTTGTTGCTCGCTCTCAGATCCACTCTGGGCGCCGCACCGAACATTCTCTCGCTTAGCCTTAACGACAACTCGAACAACCCTACGTCCATAACGCACACATAGTCTCTCTTTAAGTCTACGTCTTTCCCTAATTTGTTTGATATGAACAATGCCATGTCTTCTGCTATAAAACGCAGGGTTGAGGTATTCGTATAAGCAGCTATGTTGCTGGACACGCTAAAGTTACTGAGAGTCACCATCGATCTCAATGGTAAATGAATTGGCCTGCAATCACAGAAATTTCTGATTAGGTACACTCGGGTACATTTTTTAAATAATTCGAAATAAAGACCTATAATCAACCGCGCAATCCCAGAGATGTAAATGCAGTTCTGTTAGTTTTCTCGACGGTGAGTAGCCGGCGACTGGATTATCGTTCGCGTCGAGAAAATCCGTTAACTGTGTGAACCATGACGTACCGGTAACGCACATTCTGTGCTTCATTGTAGCATTTGTTATGCCCACCGCTACTCTAAAAGTCTACCAGAAAAGAAGATACGGTTACTCGATTTGCTATAAAAAATTATATTTATTCGAGGCAATTATAAAACGCACTTTTATACGATGAGTTTGATGACTAGCCTGTATTCGTATAGCGAGCATCACCATATCTTTGTTACCGTTGTTCGTCCCCATTACGTTCGCGCTCGCGCTGGTTCTGCATATAGAATTTTTACAATGTCGCGGTACAGCGTTGTGAAACCATCTCAATGGGGGCGTTTGCGCGGGAGTAGTCATTAATCCGCAATGATCCAACGATATGTTATTTATCATAGCGCACACGTAGCTCAGATTCGAGTTTCCTTTATGCGAGATTACCGAGAATATCGTTGTGTCCTCCGTGTGGATTATAATTTCTCCTTGTTGGCCAGGAATAACGTTGCGCATAGAGTCACGAACAGGTGTGTACATGCAGAGGATACCTCGATCTATACTCAAAAGTATCGCTAATTTACTCTGACCGTTTCTCGGCACTCTGTTCTGGTGTTGCCTGTAACTTTTATCGGCTGCCGAGTGAAATATGCCTTCCTTGTCCGAATCCGAATCGGAATCATATTGAAGCCCGCTCTTGCACGTTCTAAATCTAAACACAAAAACGTATCGTTGAATTAGAAATTATACTCGCCTACTTTAAACACTATTTACCTAGGGTAAACCGATTCTTGCAACAAGGTAGATGCTAAATCACGACCTATATGACTCTCCACATGTGTCGTGTATTTTGGTCTTGGCGCCGATGGCGTCCATAAAAGAAGATCGATGTTGAATCTATTATACAGTAGGTCGAACAGGTGCTTGGATGGTATTTGGACGGAAACACACGGAAAGTTGATTTCTAGTTGAATTCTGGAACCGCGGGTGCTTTCGTCCATGAACTCTAGCATTTCTACGCGGCTTCCTGGCATAATCAGTTCCTCGCCTTCTCTATTAATGCAACAGAATTATATTATTTTATAAAATGCGAATTATAATTTAGAATGAAGATAAACCTTTGTTCCGAATCGTCTTTGTCGCCTTGTGCATGGGGTGTATCGGATTTGTGGATAACGCGTTTCGAGCTGAACGGTGACGGTTGATGTTTAGGTACGCTCTCCAAAGCTTCGTCCAAGCTGGAATCCGGTTCTCCCTCGGAACTGTCTTCCAACTGACCGCTTAAACGTTGCGGATAAATTGTGATCACTACCCTGGACCAACCAAAACCTTCGTTAACTTGATTCATCGACCCCATATTCTCGTCAGCCGTGACTTTGCCTATGTTTATCGGCGTGTCCGTCTCAGTTTCCGCGTACGAGAACAGCAGGTTTCGAAATTGAATTTCGTGCTTCGCCACATAGCGGGGGAAATTCTTCATCGTAGAATGTATTTGTGCATCGATCAGTTTCAAGATCATGTAATCCGTTCTCACTGATCTTTTCCACCACGGCACCCTATTCATATCGTGCAGTGGTCTTAAATCTGGTATTGGAAACCTATTTTTAAATTATTGACCATTTAAATGTGTAATGATCCCGATGTACTCCCCACATCCGTATTCGTACATTACCTGAGCTTTATCGTACACTGCGACGAAGATACGTTTATGATAACTAAAGAAGTCGAAGAAGTAGGGCTTTCCACGGCTTGGTCAAATAATGTTTGCTGATTCTAAACAAACGTATAATGAAATAATGATACGTTATAATTAATACGCGTGTAATAAAAAAAACTCACGATGTTTTTGTCGTTAGATACAGGATTATAAACACATATCGGTTGCGGATTAAGTAAGGTACATATCCTATCTACAATGGTTATATCCACTTCGCTTTTGCACGGTTCCAATTCAATACTAAAGAACGTAATGAAAATATAATGCAAATATTTAAATGGTACTGACAATTATTCCCGAACGTGTTTTAATACGCTTGCCACTTACTCGACTTCTGTTCGCGGATTTGCATATTTCGCTACTATGGCATATCTAGCATCGTAAATGTCATCGGTCGATTTAAATTTCATTTTAAAATCTATTTTGTTTGCGAAGCCAACATTCGTTAAATTCTCTTTTGGAAAAGTAAGCAGCTCGACGTATTCCGTCGTGGGAGTTCCATTTCCACCGGAGCTGTTCGAATCGATCAAACATTCAATAATTTCTAAACTAGCTAACGTCAATGTTCCAGACGTTACAGAGGTTTCCGTTGTAGTATTTTCCTTTCCGTCGATTACCAGCGGCGCGGCGAGCAATCTGTAATAAATAATCAAGGATTAATTAAAGTATACCGATATAGTATACTGGTATACTGATCGTGCACACCTAATGTGACTTAAATGGCAAGCGTCTAAGAGTAGTTTCGATGCTTTATCAAAATCTTTATTCCCGTATCCAGTAGCTGCGAACATGCCGAGTTGCTTAAAAAATTCTTCCGCCGAATTCTTCATTTGCCGTATACTAGAACATGTTAAACCGCCGCCATCTACGCACGTAGTCAATATATCCTCGTGTAACAGTATTATAGCTATGGAAGATACTCTCACGTGAAACGGAAATATTTCCACAGGAAGACTATTATCCACGCTATATCTATGTTTACGTTGCTTTGGTACATTGATCGCTGAACTTTTTAAGCTAGTACTACTGGACGATATACTCCCGTCCATGCTGATGTTGTTACTTGCAATAGAATCGCTCATTGACGTAGATCCTGGCAATCGCATTGGTAAAAATACATCCTCGTTATCCGATTCGTCTAAAGATGCTGTTGACCAGCCTTGCGTATGCTTCAAATCCTGTTATTTGCGAAACATTTTTCATTTAATATCCCTTCGTCTCTGATACAATTTTAAGGGTCGCGGTATAATTTTTATCACCATAGTACGTAATCCTTGAGTCGGTTGTATCTGTTGAATGAGCTCGCGTTCCACGCAATGAAAGTCGCTACCAGCCATAGGTTTCTCGGTGCACGTTTTCGGCGCAACATTGCTAATGTCTTCTAAATCCGGAGATGCAAGCCCCTGTCCTAATTCTATCAAAACGTGCGCCTGCCGTGGGCTTAGAAACGAAGTCAACGATCCCAAAGTAACTTCTAATTTTACCTAAAGTAGTTGGTTCTTTACTTTTGTGCCTCTGTACATTTTAATGACGCATGCTGCTTAATTTCAATTATTTAAACTTTTACCTTCGGCCCTGAAACACCTTCCCCTTGTTTCAATTTTACTCTTATTTCTTGTCTGCCTGCCAACTTAGCGAACATTATAGGATTCGAGCCGCTTAAATTATTAATAATGTTACCATCTGGAGGAGTTTGCATATTTTGATTTGGGGACATTTGTGCAGAAATAAATTGACCATCCGAATTCTGTAGCAAAAGAATCCAAAAATTTTGCCTTCTATTTCCCTTTCTCTTTATTTTCTTACTAATTCTGATTAAAAAAACATTACTTTAGAATCTGGTGTGGAACCTCTACTCGTTGTTATTACACTTCTAGAGAAAGTTCTTGTACAAGTTGGAAATTCATCTGTGTAGAAAGTTACTCCATCTAAGTAGAAACGTTTTGTTGTGAATGCCGACACAATGTATCCCTTTGTTGATTGACTAGGATCTAACGAAGTACTATTTGGATCCATGCCTGCTTCATCGGAATATTCGAGATTCTTTATATGAATTTCTACCGCGACTCCCGTCGATGAATCCAATGGCACATGCTCCAAACGTATTACAGTATCTATAAATCTGACTTTCACCCTGTATAAAACTTAAAGAAACAGAGGTTTTTATAATTTGATACGCACACCAAGATCACTATATCTGTAACATTCCATGTACATTGTACGTAAATCCTTACTTGAATCTATCGTTTGTGCAAACAATTCCACTCCTTCTAGCGGTTGCAAATTCCCAGTATTGTTAGCATCTTCTTGTAAACATTCTTGTGCAAGTTGCATGCTAGATGACATAGAATTCCACATGGATTCGAACATCGAGGTGCTACTTTTTTTCCTTTGTCTTGGTTGAACTGTCAATCTGAGACTGGTCACCTCCACATAACTAGCTTCGCTGAGCAAAGTCGACCACGGTATGCTAATAGACATCTCTGCTACAAAACCATGTACAAATTCTAACGGCAGATGTTGCTGCTCTCCCATTTCGTTGAGTGCCTAACAGAGAAAATATAAACCTTAGGGAACAATTTTTAAATTTCACATTTCTATTCTTTAATGATACCATTGAACAGGTGAATTGCTCTTATTTACATTGTGTAAAAAATACACATTCCTCGAGCCAATTCTATTATCTTTATCATTGTCGTATTGCGGCTAACAAAGAAATACGAAACAAAGGAAGCACCAGTACCTGTACATCAAGGCTGACATTGGTTACACGACCAGTTCCATTGTAAAGATCTACTGTGAACTGATCTAATGTCAGCTTCTCCTCTAAAAATTGACCAAGATACCGTTGTAGGAGATATCTGCAGGCTCGTTTTTTTATCCCTTGTGACCAGGGTAAGGATCCCAACCAAGACATTTTCTTCTCACGTTTGACAGTCTAATTTATGAAAGGCATGGGATTTTTTGAAGGTCTGTCCCTCGACTCGCTACTTATATGTTAGGCCTGTTATTCGGGCACAATGCATGAAAAGTAATTTATTTATCTGAAGTCCATCTTTCCGACACGTGTCCAGCTTAGCACAACAACTCTTAATATAATACAATGATTCGGATGTAACGGGGTTCTAGCTGCGTAATGTTTTCCTTTGGATGCACTACAAATACACACATACACACATACACGCGTGCCTGGCTATCGGGCAAACACTGGGAAACGAAGCGCTGATGTCTCATTGACTGAAATCAGCTGACTATGGAGAGAGACTATAAGGTTTTCAATGCTCTTTCACATTTGATGCATCGGTGCAATATTATTCAATGTTTCTGTCGCACGCAATATACCAATTCTATTACATTTACTTAATTTATTCTTTCCTGTTTGCCAACAATGTTTATGCATTTTTCTTCCTCAAACAAGCTAACTAACGCACAAATTTATTCGTGACGTCTTTCTTATTCTCGACATTATTTTCATTAAAGTCTCGAAAAGAATTTTATTATCAATTTTCTACGTAGAATGTTGTAACATTATAATTAACTTTCGTTTAGAGGTGGACGAGGTTTTATTTCAATAATAGATTACGAATAGAATCGCTTGTATAATTATTTAGTCATTAAGTTTTTCAATGGAATTCAGATATGCCATTGTTCGTCTAACGTGAAATATGATTTCATCTTATAATTCAAATTATGGTTTTTGTGAAACATGCAACAAGTCGAAAGCTATTTACGTTTTATTCTTTATTCAAATTTGTTATCTAAAAAGTTTTACATCGTGTGTGTGTGTGTGTATGTGTACACATAATTGCATGCATATTCGGAAGGAAACATTACATTTATATTACCGTTTAAATGCATTCTACTTCAATGAAAGAAAGAAAAAAAAGAAAACAATACGTAGTATTGCAAAGTAAATAAATCGTACACAAATATATTTTGCAGTTACAGAAACTTTTTATTTTTTTCGTACAAGTAATTGAGACCTGCGTTTCGAACAAGACAATAGAATATTTTAAATAAAACTGTTCTTATCGAATCGTACTCGGCATTTAGTTATTTGGAGACGTTTGAAAGTTATTAAAGTTTGAAAGGAGTATTTCTGTAAGGTTTACCAGACTGAACGCATCCGAGATCATGTTATCATGTCTGTCGCTGCGTACGCGTTTATTAATAAGTTCACAGTACATAGTGCTTGAATCAATTCGAATGATCTGTCAAAAGATATTCGGCGGTTTGTTAAAAATTAATTAAGGGTAGTAATTTTTACATTACTGCGAACGTATTGTCCGAATAAAAAGTCTCCGATCGTCGAAAATATGGCGTTGACAAATATTTTACTTCTTAGTCAGATATCCGGATATATTGTGGCTAATATTTTGTCACTTTGTATTATCATACCTATGAGTTTGCATCAAAAAGAATTCAGGTAATTTCAGCATCAAGTAAAACAAACAATTATCATTGAAGCGTACGTGGAATGTGTCATTGCTGTAACTGTTTATTTACAGAGGATATTGCCTATTGTTCTCCACGGGTACTTGGCAAGAATCAGATGGACAAATTGTAGTGAACTGGGCTTCGCAAGCTTATTGCGATTATACGATATTCATAGGTGTAATATTATTTGTGACATCTGCGGTACAGATCTATAGGCTTTCTATATTTATGATTCGCGGTGAAGACAGTTCTTTTTTGTCAGCATTCATAGATGTTATCAGTTCGATATTCCTCACGTTGATTACTTTGGTTGCTGCTATTATCGTGACGCTCGGATTTATGACCTGGTGCCAGTGTATGACGAAAAGATTCCCATCGTGCGAATTAGCAGCTGGAAATGATATCGACAAAGCGGACAGAATAGATACGTCCGATTTTCATATAGAATTAGGCGCAGCTCAATTCGGAACCTGGACCAGCTTATCTGTTTGGGTCGGTTTATCAGTTTTTGCAGTATTGAAGTTATTGCGGTATCACCAGTTAGAAAATATGAAAGTTTCTATGTATAGAGAAAGACAAAGATTAATAGAAGCTGCCAGAAGTAATGAAATACAGGAATCAAATTAGGAATGAAAACGTGTTGTATATTGCTTTAACAATAAGATGCAAAGAGGAAATAATGATATTTCGGTGATATTGCTACTTTTATTCTTCAGATAAATATTTATACTTGGTGGAATCAGTTTTTCCAAACTCACATTTTTCTAATTAATGTAATAATTGAAACAATGCATTATGACCTAAGATAATTTCCAAATTCATTAGGAAGAATAAACCAGTAGGATAGTCAAGTTCTTCGAAATAAAAAGTATATTTTATGTTTATAAAATATAATTTATCAGATTGTTTTTAATGTTTATACATATCAAGACTGGATAAGATTACACAGAGCCATTACAGCTAGTATTAACATATATTTAGCAATATAAGTTTAACGTAATTGTTTTATTTAAAAGAACACTAACAATAGTAAAATATAGAATATTTTTATTGTATTATATATTCTCTATAATTCCCATATAAAATATATTAAAATAATAACAAATATAAAATAATCACATGTTTCAGTTAGTTCAATAGCTTTTAATAGAGAATATCGATGATATAAATTTTATAAGTGTAAAAATTTACGAGAATGTATATAGAGTAAGAATTTCATATTAGAAACGATTTAATTTAAATATATTTTGTAAATATCTATGTAATATATTCTCATAATATATCTGAATCATAACTATACACCATTTATTTATGATATTAAACGTTTCAAATGAATAAACAACGTATCGTTTGTGTAAAAAATATTACGGTTAAATTACAGTGGTAATTACAGTGGGCAATATCAGTGGTTTAAATTACTTCTCTACATATTCCAAGACTGTTTCTGCGACTTCCTAGAGGACATTGCCTTTTAGGCGGTTGAATTATTATAAAAGGTGCAATATCTATTGGTATGCACTCCAATTCAAAAGTAGTTTCGTTTACTCCTAACACTCCATTTGGAGCACAAGGACCACCTATAGTTCTTAGAGAATAGCATGTACCATTGTATGGTACTAAGCCATTTACATTACAGGGGTTCTTGATACATTTTGGAACAGCTTCATTTTTAGGAAGCACCACATAATCCTGTGGTGCACAAGGTCCTTGCATATAAGCTTCATGGCAAGTATCGTTTAAAGGGAAATACAAAAATCTAGGCCTACAATCGCATATCCATGTGCTTTTGTTTCCATCACCAGGATAAAGAAGCATATTTTGGGGGCATTGACCCGGTATAGATACTGGAATACGCTCTGTTATCTGAAAGGAAGTATTTATTAAATTTCCATTGTTATACTAGAACATAATTTATATTATACATAATTACCACTGCATTGTTGCCACTAATATGAGATGTCTCTTCATCATCTGGGAATACAATATCTTGACACATTATAATATAAATCCATATTATCAGTGTGGTGCCAAAAATTATCCACTTCATTTTACATGTACAGTATTGTATAAGTTTTCAAATAATACTGTAACAGATATTTCTTTTCTTATATGTATATAGGTTATTTAAATTTCAATTTAATCCAAATATCAATATACATTATCAATTACTTATTAATGACGATTCGAAGAGAATTGTTACTTATTATTGATGATACAAATGACGCTTAATATACTATATTTCTTTAAATGACCTCACATGACCCTGGGAAATTTCAAGGTCAATCATAGCACTATGTATTACGCATTTGCGATAAATTTGACGTTTTCCTCCCACTGTTGCTAAATACGTGTACAATTATATCTTTTCAAGAAATAAATATGAAAAATACATATAAAATCAACTATTTAACAAATATAAACAACACTGCTTAATTAAGAAATATATTTTTCATATTTTGCAATAGCACTCCTGCAGAATTTCTCGTCCTGAACACGAACCTGGGAATAGAATTGTTCTACTACACCTCTAGTTTTAAAAAATCATGTTTTTTTGTAAAAACGTATGATTTAAAACAATAATTAGGTAATGCGTGAAATTTACAGGCACTAGACAACAATTACCTAGTTCAATTTAATCTTAAAGGATAAAAGAGAATTTCTGCGATATATTAATATATATTTTTATTAAATTTCATAGTTTTGAATAGCTACAAATGACCACCAAAATTTGAAAGAATTAATTCGCATACTTTTTAAACATTATCGTTGCATTTCAACAAGCAATTCAATTCTTTACCTAACACAAATTTTCTGCACGATATCGGTTTCTGTAGATAGTTCTGAAGAGGAAACTATTTAGAAAAAGTGTTGGAATGGATTTTAATTGGAATTGGTCGAGGAAATATTAGTCTGGAATAATTGCATGATGTTTTGCCGCGGTAAGTTTTGAAAGTTTAGGGAATACGTGCATTTTTAGTATTTTTGCGTAAGTTTTTCTCTCGTATATAGTTTTCATAACGGGTCGTATTGCATAGTACATATTCATTCTTTTATTGCTTTCCATCTATTAGTCAATGCGTTTGTAGAAACAATAGCAAATAAAGAAGAGTCCGGAGACCTTGCCCCACTCTCTAAGTTTAGTACCATAGGAAGGTACAGACTCTGTCCTACAGAGGGCCCCCTCTGAGAGGGGCAGTATTACCAGAGACAGACGACAGACATGTTCGCAGCAACAATTCTCTTACGTTTGAGTCGGGGAATGAATCTGCATTAGAAAGACCGATAAAATAACGATATTTTATGTTACTTTTTTATTATGTGCGATGAAACCGAATTATGTGAATACTGGTATGTTGATAATAAAACGATGTCATGTCGGTGCAGATCCATTTCGGTATAATGTTGGTAAATAGATTGTATTGTGTATATATATATTAGAAAAGATTAGATGCGTGGTAAGATTTTCGGATATTGAATGGTGACGTTATATGCGTACGTTTTGTTTATTTTTGTCGATCGTGAAAATTTTGGTACAAATGATAGATACAGATATGTGCGTCACGAACGCAAAGAAACTACGACGGTCGAAGTTTTTGGCGGTTCGTAGAATTAAGTACGATCGGAGTGTTTAGTGGTGAATAGTACTAAGAAACAATCAGTTGGATTACGAATATATTGATATTTTTAAACAATATTTTATTACAATAAAATGAAAATTACATTGTTAATTTATTATAGTAATTAATTATACTCTTTCGATATATTCATTATACATTTTATGGACTTCAGCCGCACTTGATACGAATGCACTAGTTTCGTATTCTGGCCAGGATTGAAATTCCATAAAGAGATCGTACATTTGAATAGGAGACAAGTCGTTAAATTGAGTAAAAATATTATAATTCTTTTTTATCAATTTCACACCACAACCTGGTACTATTTTTCTGAAACAGTTGCATAAATTATTTGCAAAAAGAAATATTCAATATATATTATATTTATATGATTATACTCACTCCATTATAGGTATTATTCTATTCGATGGTTTATATATGTTGTGCCTAACGAAATGCCAAAAGTTTTTCACATTTTGTTTTCCACGAAACAATATGAAAAGTTCAGGCTTCGGTTCTAATTTAACGACGTGAAAAAACACAATGTCTTGCTGGTCGCACGTGCCTTGTGTCCTTTTCGCTTTATTCGTGCACCATGGTACAAATGCTTTCCTGTCCACCAGTCCAAACATTTTGTAGTTAAATAACATTTGAAACATAATATGTGTGGCGCTGCGTCTTTTAGCAGGATTTACAAGTTTCTAAAAGTTAAAAATTATTTACAGAATTGTCCAAATTGTTAGATAGGAGTGATAGTGTGTTTTTAGGAATGTTTTTGAGATAAAGATCTTGTACTAACGTTCCATATGGACGGAGGTATTGCAAGATATAAAACTGGCCGTCCAAACATTACAATGCTTGTTTGAAACACCGTGCTCATTATTAAATGATTTATAAACCCAAGTTTGTTTACTACACCGATCAGTTGCATACAACTTTCTTCCTCCCATTCTTTGTTCTGTACATTGTTAAATAAATCGTATACGTTATGTTTATTTTTAACAATGTTTTTTGAATGCATTGTTTTTGATATATCAATAAGGTTTGCTTCTTTTATACTTAACCTTTCTGGTAATTCATTACATAATTTGATCAGTTCATTGTAAAAGTTAGATTGGTTTTCGTACATGTGTATAAACGGTACATTGGCATTCAATAATTCCACTGTCAGAAGACCAAGACCAGGATTCATTTCGATCACATGATTCGTGTTTTTTAATAGATCATCCTTAATTAATAATACAAACTCCTTAGCTACGTTGGGGTTTATTAAATATAACTGTGATAAATTTTTTGTTTCTGATAAATGGTTCTGTATAATGTCGATTTTAAATTTTGGTAAAAAGCTTGCTACATAGTGCTCATAATACTGTTTGTTATTATTTGTCTTTGCCGTTGAACAATTTACGAACTGCGTAAAGTTTAAACGCGGAGTAGATTTCTTTATCGCACGAAGTATAGCACTGTTGTTAGATTCAATTGTTCGTGATACAGAGGTTTTTGAAATATTTAAAATTTTTACCAATACCGTCATTTTTTTTTTTTCATTTGTTATTCTTCACGACAGAATGTAATTAATATTACGATACATGTACGTACTTTTAAGGTTAGATTTGTACACGATTTGTTTAACGAATATTTTAAAACTAATCTAATTTTATTAAGTATTTCGAATTTTGCTGAATTTGTCAAATAAATTGTTATTAATATTTCGATTTATTCCGATCGATACAAATGTCCACATACAGTATTTTACACGTACGTATATGAGGCATACATAGTCGCGATACAAAATAATCTTTTTAATAACGATTATTAAGCAATATTGTATTCTAAATTTTTGTTTGGAACTTTTCTTCGTTGGAAGGGCATTTTAAGATTTTATATAGTGTCATTTTATAAGATAGATGACTGTCTTCGTAATCTGATTATGCAGATAATGTTTTACTTTGTTATAACATCTGCTCTTTCGTTTACAAAATTAATATTACGGTCTTGTAAGTATGCTTCCTCTGTCGATACATATTTATTTTCTTTTATTCTCAATTAATTATAAATTCCGCTTTTCGGTTTTAATTTGTAAATATTGAATTTATTAATGATTATGTTAATTAGCTATGCGATTTTGTGGCACTCAACAAAGAAATGAATTTGGCGATGTGACGTAATACCTAGAAACAATTATTTTGATCCAAGTTTTTAATAATTTTGTACGAAGCAGTACTTGAAATGAAAAAAATTGACAGACTGTTATTTGGCTTTCTTCACGGCGGATAATTTTTATCCATATACAATTTACAATTTTTTAAACAATTGTACGCGAATGACGGTAAATAAATCATAATTATTTTCCATTTGTTACATTAGAAATTTTATTCGCTATCTTAGCTGTAATCGAATATATGTATATAACATATAACAAACAGTTTGAAAATATTAATTCTAACAATAAAATGTTAAAATAATAATATGAAACTTTGGTGATACCTATTGCAAGACTCTGCACTTTCTTGCATTACCTAATATAACCTTGAGAAACAATGCTGCTTTCTAAATTTTTTTGTTACAAGTTTTTTTGTAGCTTGATTTGGTTCAATTGTGCATGCAACATATTTGAAACATTGTTAGCAAAAGATATATGCGGTGTTTCTTATTTAAAAAAAAAGCAGTGTCAGTATTTATTAATATTAACAGGAAAATTTGAAAAATGGCTCAAAGTGCTTCTTTATTAACAAGAATAATAGCCTCTTCTATATCTGCTTCGGTGCGAGCAGGTAAAATAATAAGAGATGTTATGAGCCACGGAGGTCTAAATATAGTAGAAAAAGGCAAAAATGATTTGCAAACCGAAGCCGATCGTTGTGCTCAAAGGTGTATTATTGCTTCGTTAAGTTCTCAATTTCCAAATATTACCATTATCGGCGAAGAAGAGTCGAGTGATTGCGACGTACCGTTAGATTGGGTTGTAACAGAGGCAGATCAAGAGGTATTAAAATTGGAATTACCACCTCACTTGGAAAATGTAGATCTTAAAGATATTTGTATTTGGGTAGATCCATTGGATGGTACGTGTATATATTTTATTCCTTTTAATTACCTTCTCTACATATATTTATGGAAGTAGAATTTGGTTAAGTACAGATAATATGAGAAAAAAATATTGCTTTCAGGAACATCGGAGTATGTACAGGGTCTTCTGGAACATGTTACAGTTTTAGTAGGAGTGGCAATTGGACAAAGAGCGGTTGGAGGTGTAATTCATCAGCCCTATTATAAAGATGATAAAAATGATATATTAGGACGTACCATTTGGGGTATTAATGGTGTTGGATTTGGTGGATTCACCCCAGTTGCACCTCCAGATGGAAAAAGAATAATTACAACTACGCGGTATGAGTCAGTTTTGAAACAACTTAAGTTGTAAATGTACATAGTAAGATATAACAAATGTACCATGCACTTTCAGTTCACATTCTGACTGTACTGTTCAAGCAGCTATAAATGCTTTATGTCCCGACGAAGTTTTACGTGTCGGCGGCGCAGGTTACAAGGTAATATTTATCATAATAAATTTATTTATTTCAGTTTTTATATCTTTGTCGCATTTTCGTAGGTAATACTTTTATTGGAAGGGAAAGCTCATGCTTATGTACTTGCTAGTAAAGGTTGCAAAAGATGGGATACTTGTGCACCCGAGGCAATACTTCATGCCATTGGTGGTACTTTAACAGACATTTATGGAGAGTATTATCCATACAATTCAGAAACAACACATGCGAATCTAAAAGGTATATTAGCCACTGCTGCTGGTCAGAACCATCGATGGTACATGAGTCAGATACCACAGGAAGTGAAAGAAAAATTAAAACAGTAATGTAAATAATCTGTTTTTCGTAAAAGATTTAATATATGTTTATGCACGATGGCAAAGTATTCAGATGACTAGAGTAAAAGTTTCCAGAATTATATTTGATTGAAGTTTCAAACTCTGCTCAATCAAAAACGGTTAAATTATATTTATGAAAAAAGTTCGTCATATTTTTAGTTCTTTTATTATTTTTCATGGATTCTATTTAGATTTAAATCCAGTGACCATGGAGGCGGATGTAATACTTTTCAGCAGTTGTGTAATAAATATTCCTGAATAATTTGTGTTTTCTGTTTCGGATCATCATTCTGGTAAAATTTGAAATTGTCACGTGTATGTTTATGTTGGTAGTACTTTTTATTAATTGTGAAAATTGTTAGTCTGTCGAGTCTTCTCGCCTCATCACCGGAGTCGAGGATCGATCTTCGCTCATTTATATTCCACATCCCCTTTATTATCAAGTTTACTCTCCCATTCTAATATACAATAAGCTAATCGTAGAAACGTTTCAGAATATAATGTTTCCAACGTCAAAAGGTAGTATCGATTTCGTGGCAGTTATTTTAGTTTTGGTATTACAACAATTTCGGTATTATATCGGTTTTAATATGATAGATTGATAACATAATTACGATAAGAGAATAATAGGTACCAGTTCGAAGTCTCTACTTAAAACAATTCTTAAAAATTATAATAAAGTGGGGAAACCGAAAAAATTATCGGTAAATATCGATATTTTCATATACCGGTGTGACGTCATACTGGTATTTCGTATTTTACTTTCCATAAGGGTTATGAAGCTATAATCGAGAAATAACGGTAAAATACCAATATTTTGCATGTTGGTATAAGATCCTGATTGTAATTATGGGCGCGTTATATCTATGGTGATATTTTCTAAAGGAAAATAAAAAAACAAATCTAGTTTGGTTAACTTTTATTTAGCAAGCCTAGTTCTCTCTAGAGATTGTTATTTTTGGGGAATAATTCTAGAAATATGATGCAAGAGACAGTGCATAGGTGGCAGCACACGTACACGAAATTGTATACTTGGTCAGTTTAATATGGCCGATCTATGTTGTAGGTTAAATATGAGCGAACGGTGAAAACAGTTTGTACTCGTTTGATTTATAAACAAAATCTCGAAAATCGGTTAAAGAGAAGGTATACAGTGCATAGAAAGACGACGTCGAGCGACGAAAGATGGGTGTACCTGCATTTTTTCGGTGGTTGAGTAGAAAGTACCCTTCCGTGATCGTCGAATGCATCGAACAGAAGGTAGGTTAGATTGTTTGTTTGTACGAAAGACACTTTGTTTGATTTGCAATATTTATCCTGTATATACGAACACTGTACGACCGTTGCACGATCTCCGCGATGTTCTTTACATTTTGTAATTGTTTGGATCATACGCGAAGTATGTTTTTGATGGTTTACAGCGCGTTTATTGACGAGTTTATTTACTCTATTTTATATCGCCAAAAACGTGATGTTTGTACAGATCTGTGAAATTGTACTTGTAAGAAATTTGTGTTTATTTTATTTAGGGGCAGGTTTGCGATTTTTTAAACTTTTTTCATGTATTTATATCACACTTTTGTAGCCAATAACTACCAATGGCGTGCGGGTCCCTGTGAATTCAGCGGATCCAAATCCAAATGGAGTGGAGTTTGATAATTTGTATCTTGATATGAATGGTATTATACATCCTTGTACCCATCCAGAGGATAAGTAAGCGTTCATTGAAGTAATTAACAATTCTAAATCATAAACGATTAAACGGTTTTTGTGTAATAGTTTGTTATTGCAGGCCAGCGCCAAAAAATGAAGACGAAATGATGGAAGCTATTTTTGAATGCATCGATCGCCTTTTCCGCATTGTGAGGCCTAGAAAATTACTTTATATGGCCATAGATGGGGTTGTAAGTATTCGTACAATACGAGTAAAGTATTTATAATTATGTGATTGTACTTTATGGTAATACGTTTAATTAAAATGCATAGGCGCCCAGAGCCAAAATGAATCAGCAGAGATCAAGGCGTTTTAGAGCATCAAAAGAAACATGTGAGAAAATTAACGAGATAAGCAGAATACGTTCCGAATTGACTCTCAAGGGGGCCTCTTTGCCACCAGAGAAACCGAAAGAGGACCATTTCGATAGTAACTGCATTACACCGGTTCGCGCAAAATTTAATCTTTTCATTATCCGGATACATTCATTAGCAAACAATGATTAACTAGTACTTCTCTTTAAGGGCACACCGTTTATGGCAAGATTATCGAATTGCTTGCATTATTATGTACACGATCGTTTAAACAATGATCCGGGTTGGAGAAATATAAAAGTAATTTTAAGCGATGCGAACGTACCCGGCGAAGGCGAACATAAGATAATGGATTTTATACGTAGACAAAGAGGTAAACAAGCAGTCATACTTTTAATACATTAACTCTATTGCTATATTGTAATTTTTTGTTTGCGTAACAGCCCAACCCGATCACGATCCCAATACGCAACACGTTCTGTGCGGAGCTGACGCTGATTTAATTATGCTGGGTCTCGCAACTCACGAGCCGAATTTCACTATTATTCGCGAGGAATTTAAGCCGAATAAACCCAAACCATGCGACATATGCGGCCAATTGGGGCACGACATGAAGGAGTGTACGGGTTCGGAGGCTCCTCAGAAAGAGGAAGACAATGTTTTTGGATCCGAGTGCCAGTTCATATTTGTGCGATTAAATGTACTCAGGGAATACTTGGAGAGAGAGTTGCAGATGCCTAATCTACCATTCAAGTACGACTTTGAGCGAGCTATAGATGATTGGGTGTTCATGTGTTTCTTCGTAGGAAATGATTTTCTGCCCCACCTGCCGTCGTTGGAGATCAGGGAAGGGGCGATCGATAGACTTGTTAATTTGTACAAGAAAATAGTGTACAAAACAGGGGTACGTAATATGCGTTAAAATCGGGACTTGCGACTGTAAGCTAAATGAATAGTGGAGTACGTTTGTAATTTTTCTGCTGTAGGGATTCTTGACTGATAGCGGGGACGTGAATTTGGACAGAGTTCAAATGATAATGTCCGAGCTTGGTGACGTCGAGGACGAAATTTTCAAGAAGAGGCAGCAAAATGAATTGGCTTTCAGGCAGCGTGAAAAGGACAAGAAAAAAAGGATGCTGGCGATCAGCAATTATAAACCAAAATGGATTCCTGCCGGGCAGTTTGCACCTACAGTGAGTTTCGTTGATGAAAACTCTATGAACCGTGTTTGTAACAGTAATAATCACTTGACACACGCGTTTTGATTACAGCCCATAGGCGAGCGCGTTAAGCCAGTGGAGAACGCACGTTACGAAGCTTATCAGATGCGTGTTCAAGGCAGAAATTTTAGCACCGCAACTGAACACACAAAAGGAAACGCTAATGAAGCTCTAGAGAGCATGATTCGTCCTGAGGTACGGGAATGCACATTACCGTCTATGTTCACCTACGCGTGTGGCTTACGCGTGTCGAACATTTTGCAGAATTCATCCAACAGAGGACAGAGACGTACTATCGACGACGTTGAGAAGGATGATTTAGAGGATGATCAAGCTCACGACGAAGTCAGATTATGGGAAGATGGTTTCAAAGATAGATACTACGAATCGAAATTCGACGTATCAGCAGACAACTTGCAGTTCAGGTGAGCTGAGATTGTTTGGCATACAAATTTACGTACATTACAGAATAATAATTTCTTTTTTTTTATTTATAGAAATAATGTCGCTCTGCAATACGTGCGCGGTTTGTGTTGGGTTTTACGATATTATTATCAAGGCTGCGCGTCATGGAAATGGTACTTTCCGTACCACTATGCCCCGTTTGCTAGTGACTTCATCAATATCGGTGGTTTGTCCACAGAGTTTGAAAAAGGAACGACACCGGTAAGCTAATTTAAAAATACAAATCCACGTAAATACGACTATCACTCGATACGTTCGCAGAGTTTCTAACTTCTGTTTTTTTCGCGTTCCAGTTTCGTCCACTGGAACAATTAATGGGCGTGTTTCCAGCAGCCAGCAGCAAACACGTTCCCGAGCCATGGGCAAAATTAATGAGCGATCCAGTAAGTTTCTAACAACATTTTACATATGTAAAATAAATACACATCGTGATACTTATAAAATTTTCAGAAATCAACGATCATTGATTTCTATCCCGAAGATTTCAAGATAGACCTGAACGGCAAGAAGTTCGCTTGGCAAGGAGTGGCTCTGCTCCCTTTCGTCGACGAGAAAAGATTATTCAAGGCTTTAGAATCGTACTACGACTACTTGACAGAAGCAGAAAGTGAGTAATTCATTATATAAATATATATTAGGTTTAAGTAGATCGGGTGGATAGCTGAACGCCTTTGAAAATATTTTTAGGTTATAAATTCCTCGTACTTTTATTCTCGATTACTCGATAATCGATATGTATCGATATCTGCCATGGAACGATTAGTCCGTTAAAAAAGAATGGCATCGATCGTGATAATTAAGGCGATCGATTTGTTTTATTCGCCAGATATACGTGCAATTTCTAATTGTTGAGAATATAAAATAATACAAAGTTATACTGTTATATGTACCTTGTAATACCTATGTAATTGTGTTTATTTCGCAGAAAAACGAAACGTTCGCGGCGACGACCGACTGTACGTCGGACTTGGCAATAGTAGTTACAATTTTATAAAGGGACTATACGTGAATTGTGTTGTATTCGACGCGGAAACTCCAATATCGATCGATGGGATGCGCGGGACCGTTTTATTGGCAGAAGATTGCGTGGGCGACGGAGCTACTTTACCATCGCCGATAAACGGGCCACCAGTCAGGAATAATAAAATTTATTGGTACGTATAAAATTGTAAAATTATTTTTTTTTTCTACTTTCACCGTTTAAATAAAATTCACCGTATACCTGAGTAATAAACGTAACGCGATGTTCGTGCAGGTTGACCGTTATCTCCTAACCCTTTTCTCTGACCGTAGCATCAGATTCAGGGATCCAAAGTACAGCGGTAATTTCATCTTTCCTGCGAGAAAGTTGAAAGGCGTCAGAGAGCCGCCAAGAGTCTTGAAACCACAAGACTTTGAGCAGATGAACCGCAACACTGGCAACGCATGGAAGCCACAGATTGGTTTCACTCCTTCGACCCAGACTGCATCCTTGAGCGACGCAGGACGTAGAATACTTGGGTAAGTTGTATTAATAATTACAGACAATTATCTCTAATATATGCGTTAACGTTATTAAAATACATGCTTTCTGTTTACAGACATTACACAAATCATAACAGAGTACCACCACCGTACGGACAGGTGTCGATGCCACAGAACGTCTACTCTGCGCATCACGGTGAGTCCCTTCTGCGTACATTTTCCCTGATTTTGGTTAAGAAATTCGCCTCTCAAAAATTCTTTCATTTTGTTCAGATATCCGTTGCACCCGTGTGTTCCGCCTAAAACGGCGAAAAGGGTTGTCGCATATCGAGGGATATTTTTAACGCGAATCGGGACCCTCGATCCTTCGAACAATGGTTCACGAGAACCAAATTAAAGCGCACGCGACTCCCGGGATCAACGACGATACGTTCCATCCTCGAGTAAAAATCACGTAGGGGTATTCATTGTTTTCCTCGCCCTAATGGAAGTCGCGTGATCGTTCCACGCTATCACGTTTTAATAGTCTCGTTTCTCCAGTGCCCACGACACTTATAATAGTAAATTTGCAATTCGGTGTATTCCCTGTAACGTTTCGCAAGGAGTCACGACGGACACAAATAACTCTCGCAATTTTTACCCTGAAATTACTAGTTGACTCGGTCCCCCTTAGCTTACTACAAACTATGCAAGATTTTTCCTACCAACCAGAATTGATTCTATTTCTCCAAGTCTGCAGTTCGAGTTGAACGAGTAAGGGGGGGGGGAGGGGGGTTGAAAAAAGGGCGCACAGAGGTAGATGGATCTCCACGGTTGCAGGAAGAAGGGGGATAGAGGGGTGGTGTGGGGGGGTCAGAGGCGGTGCCGGGGAGCACGAGCCAGGGGGGTTGCAAAGCAACGAGGGGTTCTGGTCCCGGATTAGCTCAGAGGGTAGTTCGTCACGTAGAGCGTGACTCCGGCCGTTTCGTTGTTTGGCACGTCGAGGTACCAACGGTTCCACGGGTTTCGCCCAATTATAAAACAAACGCGGTGCACTCCGTAATTATCCAATTAGTGGATGTTCCACCTCCACCCTTGGCCCCCCTCGGCCTTTCACGTATCGTCTGTTGTCCTCCCCTCCACCCGCCGTGCGATCTACGGCGTGTCTGGATGATGAATCACAAAGGCGAGCGCGACTATCGCTTTGTACCAGCGATTCGTTATCGTTGTCGTTCGTTGTTGGTCTTCCCGTCGCGATGTCCGGGCGTCCGGGGGTTCCGTCGTCTCTTGGAGAGGATATTTATTTATTTATTTATTTATTTACCGAGGAGAAGGATAAAGAGAGTCGTTTATAAGGTAAATTGTAGGAAGGTCCCGATTGTTGGAAAGATGAGTTACGATCGCTCGGAGTTGACACTGTAACCGTCCCCCTGGGAGGCGTGACCGGGCCTGCGTGGGTGTATGCACGCGCGTAAAGAAAGACACTCTATGCGTGCGACCGTAAAAACAAAACGTGTTACACGGGGCCACGGTGACCGTGCATGATTGATTTACCGAGGGGAGTGAAACGCCAAGCACACGCACCTAACTCAGGCTATCTAACAACCCTCGTCGAAAAGATAGTCGTTGACCATCGACCCGCTAGTCGTTGGATATCGTCTTCCCATTCTAGCCTCTGTCCCCCTGGTCAACAAGTGTTCTCGATGCAAATTCCAAAGAGAGCGGAGCAGTTTAGATTTTGGTCATCAGAGTTTGCGTTACTCGCCGCCAGAGGGCTACGCTCTTGTCTCTCCCGCAAGCGCTCGACCGGCCTTCCGTTTGCATATATGTATACGCTCCTCGATCTTAGTGAAGAGTCCACTAGCAGGCCCAGGACAAAATGCAAATAATCAGCGTGGTGTTTGTCTGCAAGTTTCAGAGCTTCTTCCAGGACAAAACGCTGCTCCCACTCTGATCGATACCAATTTAGAAACAAGACCCAAGAGTAGTGGCTTCCCCAACCCACTTTGGGTCCACAAGGTTCCCTCCCCGTGTTAGGCCAAACCAAGTCGAGTCTCAGGGATATCCCTCTGATGCTGTGACTCGGGTCAAACACACGCGTTGCCGAGCAAAGCAAAGCGAAGTAAGCAAGCAAACGCGCCTCCGTCTGAAGGGATGAAACGAACGAGAGAGCCCCCCGTCCGCGCGGGAGAAGTTTTAGGGGGGTTGGTCGAGGCCACACGGTCCGTTCGTCCGTATCTTCCGTCCAGAGATGACAGGTGCAGGCAGAGGCCCCTCGTTAGACAAATTAAGCTTCGTTCTCTGGCCTCCCGCCTACGTCGTTGCTTGTCCCTCCCGGTTGCTTTGTCCGTCCGTCTCTGTTCCCTTACCGTTCGACCCTCGCGTTGCGTCCCTGTCGCGCGCGCGAAGCTCGTTCCGGGACTGGTTTCGAGTGGACTGCAAACACTCGTGGTGCAGCGGCGGCAGCCAGCGACGGTGGCTCGAATCGCGCAGAAACCGGGCGGCAAGACGAACCGTCGAACCGGCTACCTACCGACACCGCGACTTCTCGTTCTCGCTCCTCGCGAGACCACTCGATAACCGAGTGTCGCGAGCTCTAACCCCCTCCTCCCGTGTAGGCTTGTGTAACTTTCGAGTCCCGTACCAATACATCGATATTTTCTTGAGTAGTTTAATTTTTTCCCCCCACAATGCAGGGGAAAGTAGGGCAAAACCGCGTAGCTGTGTTTTTCCATAACGTTACGTGGCGATTTTTGTCCAACGGTGCTGTGTCCTAAGCCTCTCCCTAATCTAGCAAGCTAGTGAAATAGATCTGTTGCATACTAAAATACTGTTTTATCGATAGCGTTACTGTTTTATCGACAGTGCTGCTGTTTTATCGATAGTTTGTGATACTGTATTACCGATAAAACAGATGCATCGACCGAGGGATCCTGGTTCCCTTTCCTATACTGGTTCTTCTCACGTTTCTTCTCATGTTTCATTGTTGCTGCCCCGCGTGTGGTCCTGCAAGTTAGCTGGGGTTCGAGATTCCCCGCTGACATGCTTCGTAAGACGTATCGAATTGAAATTACAAATCGTTTCGCACCTCCGAACACGGAAGCTTGATAGAGACAAGTTTGTATTATAGAAATTTACCTAGCTTTATTTATCGAGAAGGCAACCTAGCGAATAAGAATTGCAATAATCCGTGTAATTCACTTTCCCCTACAAATTAATCATCGACACCACTACGGAGAATACTGAAACATATAGATGGGTATTGCGCCTCTCAATGGTAGAAGTACACGAAACGGTTGAAAGCTTCCACGGCTTCCTCAGTCTCGATTCGCCGGTAGAAATTACCTCTCGTCCCATCCATCGTCACCGAGGTGTGTGTCTATTTACGTGGGATCTCTTCTACCTCCTCCCTTCTCGTCGAGTCTTTCTGGCAGGCGGAAAACGCCCGGCAGCTTTTACGAGATATTACCTGTAATGTCCGTCGCGCATCCATTACGTGTCATTATCCATCCATTAGTCGTTCTCCACGGACCCATGGCCGCCTCGAAAGGACGCTTACGCGGTCTTGCACGCGGAACGGATCAGACCTCCTTTCATCCTCTCCTTTTAGATCACGAGGATGAGAGAACGGAGAGGATACGCGAAATGTAAGGCCTGTGGGAACCGTTCGGATTGCGTATATAAAAAAAAAATTTTTCGGCAAAATTGAAATATTTCAAATCGTGCTGAAAAAATTACTATTAGTTGCAGGGGTCGATTACAATAATTTTTGGTCAACAGACATACCTTCGAAATCCTAACTATTTTCGAGAAAAAAATTCGAGTAGATGCAGAAATTTTTCGGCGAAATTGAAAAGTTACAAATTATTCTAGAAAAATTATTTTTAGTTGCAGGGATCAATTACGATCATTTTTGGTAAATAGACATATCCCCGAAATCTTAACCATTTTTGAGAAAAAAATTCGAGTAGATGCAGAAATTTTTCGGCGAAATTGAAAAGTTACAAATTATTCTAGAAAAATTATTTTTAGTTGCAGGGATCAATTACGATCATTTTTGGTAAATAGACATATCCCCGAAATCTTAACCATTTTCGAGAAAAAAATTCCAGTAGATGCAGAAATTTTTCGGCGAAATTAAAAAGTTTCAAATCATTCTAGAAAAATTATTTTCTATTACAGGGATCAATTTCGATTATTTTTGGTGAATAGACATATCCCCGAAATCTTAACCATTTTTGAGAAAAAAATTCGAGTAGATGCAGAAATTTTTCGGCGAAATTGAAAAGTTTCAAATCATTCTAGAAAAATTATTTTCTATTACAGGGATCAATTTCGATTATTTTTGGTGAATAGACATACCCTGGAAATCCTAACCATTTTCGAGAAAAAAATTCGAGTAGGTGCAGAAATTTTTTGGCGAAATTGAAAAGTTTCAAATCATTCCAGAAAAATTATGTTCGATTGCAGGGGTTAATTACAATCATTTTTGGTGAATAGACATACTCTCGAATTCTTAACCATTTTCGAGAAAAAAATTCCAGTAGATGCAGAAATTTTTCGGCGAAATTGAAAAGTTTCAAATCATTCTAGAAAAATTATTTTCTATTGCAGGGATCAATTACAATCATTTTCGGTGAATAGACATACCCTCGAAATCCTAACCATTTTCGAGAAAAAAATTCCTTGCTGAGAATATAATTAAAACATCATAACTCCTGAACGGATTGGAGAATTTTAATGTTCAAAAATGCAAACAGCGTGTATTTTAGCGAAGAATATTTGGAAACTCCAAGAATATTGTAAAAGCTGTTCCTTAACCTCGTTGCACCTTCGGGGACTCCCCAATTTTAAGTTTCTTTTCTTCGTTTCCATCTCGACGAAACGAACATTAATATTTCGATCGTGAAAGGGTTAAACGGTCGTTGGAACCAGTTTCGAGGGATTGTTCGAAACGGGGAGTAGAATCGTCACATCGGGAATGACCAAGCGACAATCGCGACTGGCGATAATTACGGGGAAGTTGCGTAACGGGGACACGTGTTTTTCATGGAAAAACCTTCGATCTCGAAGACGAGTCGAACAAAAGCGGCCAAGGGTGAGGGGGGGTGAGGGGGGAGGAGAGAGACAGCGGAGAGAACGGACAGAGGCTTCTTCTCTAAATGCTCGTTCACCCTCGCCTATTCATCCGGCGTATGTCTACCTGCGATACAGGCT